AAAAGGTATTGTCTTTCTTGCCTTTTATAAAATTCAATTTTTTTCTGCTTTAACGTTCTTCTGCTAATATATAACTTTTAAACTTGAAACTTTACTGTGAGAATTTATAAAATTTTACATTTTCTTCTTTTCGATTCTTCGAATTTTAAAGGAATAATTTTCTGAAGCGGATATATACTTTCTTATTTTGCAAATATTAATGCTTTTTCCTTAATGAGTCAATTTCCTTTTTTGTTCTTTATGAACTTTATTTAGTTGTCTACTTTTTTAATGATTTAATGGATTTTAGATTTACTTTTATTAAGAATATGTATTTCACTTATTATAATATATTTCACTTATTATTATATAAAAGTTGGGACATTTAAATATTTTCATAAGCCACTTTTTCTGTTACTCGTATGAAAAGTTAATTTTATTTTATTTTAAATATGATGATAAATAACTAATAATTAGTGTCAATCGTAATAGATAATCTTTCTTCTTATAATCAATTCAAAATTACTTTGATATTTTTATGTAGGATTATATAATTTCTTTCACTGTATTATAAAGATCGCTTTAATATGCACTTTATACTTTAACATTATTATTTAATACTTTAACATTTTATTAATAGACAGACAATTTATATATTTGGAATTTATATATAAATTCACTGAATTTTCTTATTACGTACTATTTTTCGCTCAAATAATAAGAATTCACATTCATTTCATAAAAATAATAATAATATTATTATGATTATTCTGGTCCGGTGTATTTTTGTGCAGTTGAAATATAAATATCTCATATTTTATGTCTCATATTATCTTATTGAAATATAAATATCTCATAGAAAATTATTATATACATTGCTTTGTTCTAAAAAGATCAATGGATCAATTCTTGTATAGGCAATTGGATGTATAGATATCTATTTTAAATTTTCTCAATAATTTTTTGTGTTGTTTTAAAAATATTGCGAATTTTTTGATTTTTTAATTGGACCATATTTTTTTCATCATGAATCGAAAGAATATTAAATTCCAAGTAAAAAAGTATTAAGCCACATTGGTCTTAAACCTAATAATGGTAATAAGAAGATATTTTACGATAATTTGTCTTAAGGATGAAAACTGCATAGGGCCATTAGGGCCATTTGCTTGCAATAATTTATAAACATAAGATCTTACTTTATCTACATGTGATGCTCAAAATGGTGTCCATAATACGTATACAATTTTGTAATCGCGAAATCAATGAATTAACATTCCAGAATTGATTGTGCATTAATTACACGTTTGTAGAATTCGTTGTTTCATGTTGTTCATTGTTGTTGGTGCTTCATTATATATCTTATTCTTTGATATATCTCATAAAAAATAATTTAAAGGCATCTAAAGGCCATAGAAATTGTCCACCATGATTTTCAAATCTTTATAATGCTTGCTGTATTTTACATGAATAATGAACCGCGTAACTGTCACGTTGGTACCAAAGTATTGAACGAGTATCTAATGATACATCTTTCAGTAAAATTGGCAAGGTATCCAACAGAAATTCTACATATTTTCGTCCTGTTAATTCGTCCATCAATAAAGTGTGGACCAATTATTCGATTTCCGATTATGCCACACCATTTATTAATATTCCATGAACGTTGATGATCAACTTCTCTCATCCAATGAGGATTATTTGGTGCCTAATAATGTAAATTCCGTTATCGACATGGTTGATAAATGTTGCTACGTCTATAAACATAATACATTTTCTAACATCATTCTCTGACGATACTATGCAGTTTTCATCTTCTAGACAAAGTATCGTAAAATATCTCTAAACCGTTAAGTTTAGGATTAATGTGGCTTAATACTTTTTTACTTGGAATTTTATATTCTTTTGATTTATGATGAAAGAAAAAAATGATCCAATTAAAAAAAATAAAGATAATCTTGAAAATTTCGAAACTCTTCGACACAAAAAATTGATATGCCATATTTTACCTCCCTTAAAATCATACAACTTTTATGTTAAATAATTTTTCATTAGATGCATAAAAGTTATTTCAGGTGTGCAAGTTACATGAATCACCCTGTACATAATATAAGAAACTCAAAAATTTCAGGAATATATGAATAATTATTGCTGCGTATCTGATGTATTGGAATAAAATTCAGTTATTCTTCAACCGTGAATGTAAAAAACAACAAAAAATTTGATTAGAATTGTAAAATTGTCAAATAATTGAGATATTATTAAAACTTTAAATTTCTTGTTAAATAGTTCATTATTAAAAATTTTAAAATGACTTAATCTTCATATTATATGAAAAATATCTTCATTTTTAATTTTGTAATAGAAGAAAAATTAATTTAATATATTACATTTTAATATAAAGGATGTTCACGTGTACATGAGCTCTCAAGGACTTCTGTAATCAAAAAATGTTTCAGCAAAAATTAGTCAGCTTTGTATTAGCTATTGCAGTAATATAAATGGTCAAAATTGCAGTAATGAAAATTGTCAAAAATGTCATTTTTTCGATAAAAAAAAAGTTAAAGTCATTTTGATTTCTTCTAATGGCATTACGTATTTTTGATATTTTTTGAAATCGTTATAATTGAAGACCTAATAAGGCTTAAGGACAAAAAATTTGGATTGCGTATTCATAATTATTTTATTACGCATTATTGATAAGATGGCACTGAGATAATTTATTAGAAAAATGGAACATAGAAACATTGTTAACGCATAAGACAAATATTAACATATACTCAGATCTAATTTCTGATATGAATATTTATGACTTTGAATAAACATCATTGAAAATTTTGTACACTTGTACTTGATAAATTTTCAGACTTGATTTTTTTGAAAATACAATCTTAAATAAAGAAAATTTATTCTATACTTTCGACTTATTTTTTCATAAAGAATTATATCATTGTTACTGGAACATTCTGTGTAAGTGTCCGGTTTTAATCTATAAAGGAATTATCATTTAAACCATTATTCGAAAAAAATCTTTTAGGTAAATCTTGTTATGTTTCGAGGAGGTAATAACTTGGTTTTGTAATATGCTTTTTTATATATTAATCAACGCATCTCCTCTATAAAAAAGTATTATGTCAAAATACTGTTATTTACTGATATTTTAACTTTAATTTTATACAATCAATAAAAAACAAGGACGATATAAAGAATACTGCATTTTTTTATTTTCCACGCATAGATTTTATAAAATTAAAGTTAAAAAATTTCCTAAACTAATAGTTTACTGTCATAAGTAGGTTAACATTTTTTTTTTTTTTCATAGAGAAAAAATGCATTGATATAAGAAAACAGAGTTTCATTTAAAAAAGAACTAAATTGACCTTAAAATCTTTGAAACGTTTCCACGTATATAAACAAACCGAATTAACTAAATTATTTCTCCATCGAAATATAAAAAGATTCGTCTGAAACATTTTTTCAAATAATGAATAGATCAGAAGATAATTTTATTTATAAATTAAAATCGGACATCCTGCATCGCACGTACATATATGTTTGTATATACACATAATTAATAATTAATTTAATATATTCAGTTTTTTAATAAATATACTTAAGATGTTAGAAGTTTGTATTACCTTGTATTAGACATTAAATTATAAGAATATAACTTTTTTTTCATATACATATAAATGTTTTATGTGAATAATTTACACAATTTTTTATATTTTAAATACTTTATCTAAATTTATTTAAAATTTAATATGTAAAAGTTAAATTAAATATATTTTTTGAGTGAATTGTAACATATAATTACATATTTATGTACATGTAATACACATGTATTATATGTACACAAATATTTATTGGTCAGAAAAATGATAAAAGACATGCAGAATATTATATAAATATTTTTTAAATTCAGTAATTAAATAAATATCTTTAATAAAAGTTGCAAATATGTTTGAATTATCTAAGTGAAATATTGCCTTTGAAACTTATTAATATTAGGAAATTTATTATTTTTTTGAAAACTGAATTTTTTGAATTGAATTTTTATATATCTTTTTAGTTTATTTATAACGCATTAAATTTTTGTATATTGTTATTTATATTCACGTTTACATCGATGAATTATATTCAACTCAAATATAGAGAATACAATTTTATTGCATTGTATCTTTTTGGAATCAACTTCTATTTGTAATCAACTTTTTATAAAATATTTTATTAATTAGTCATTTTCTGCCTTAACTCAAAGGTGATAAAAAATCATCAATCAGATTTTAATACTTTATTAGTAATTTTATATTGCAAATGTACATATATTTATCGCTAAATTGCGTCTTTCTAGCAATACAATATTGTTGAAAATAATATATGGTTTTATTAAAAAAGTAATGATGATTTTAGAAAGAGAAAGAAATAATTAAATCAATTATACAGGATGATATTTATAAAGAGATCGATTGGATTTTCTTCAAAATGAATAGAGATGGAGATCTGTGTTAGGAAAGAAATTGATATTTGTATATTCAAATATTTGAATGTGCAAATTGGAGGCGTCTAGACAATCTCAAGAACAATCTCAATTATTTGAAATGGAACTCTGTATTTTTTTCTTCGTATTTCGTGTGACAAGTTCATTGACCATGATACAATCTAAGGTCATTTTAAGACCTAAAATTTCTCATGTTTTGGGAAATATGTATTTATTAATGCATTATTCGTCAAATGCTTAAAATTGTTGTCTTTCGTTTGTCTGCAAAAAGTAATCCTATGGGAAAAACTTTAATTGGAATGGCACAAATTGCTTCGATAATTCACGGCAGTGTCATCTCTTTTGATAAACAATGTTTTCGACATGTCTCCTTCAGAAATAATCTGTTGATAATCAATAATTGCGTGGAAAAACGGAAGCTCAATCTGTACACATTCATCGAAAGATTATTAGTAATTGGAACACTTAATTGTTATTTTCCTGTAACATGATAGTTTAAGTTTTCGGTTCCTCGCGATTGAATATGACTTTGAATGGACGTGCGTCGCAGTCGATGAATTCACACACAGAACATTATTAAAATAGAGAAAAAAATATAAGATTTTTTGAAAAGTTGAGTTGATCTTGAGATCATCTAGACACCTCCACTTATTCTGATCTATGGCGACTTTGAAACAGAACAAACAGAACAAACAGAACAAACAATTTTTTTTCTTTCCTTTTTAGTAAAAATTTAATCGATCACTTTAAAAATTTCTCTTTATATAATCAATCAATTATATAAATCAATAATTAATCAACTGTAGAATTTATTTATATAAATATTATAACTTTTTTAAAACCATTTTTTCATATTATTAGGAATGACAAATAAGTTAATTATTAAAAATGATAAATAATCATTTTTGAAAAATGAAGTGGTCATAATTACTATTACAATGTCGAATAATTATATGAGAATAAAATTTTATTTATATTTGTATAGAATCACCTGCTATACGTACTGTATCAAATGGATCTTCAATATACTCTGTGATGTATGCTGGGTCTGGTAACAAAATAACAATAAAACGAAAAGCAGCAGCTGCGGATGATACAGAAGTAGGACAACAAGATATGGATGGAAGCCCACACAGCTCTGTAGGAGGGGTAAAATGTATTCCATCTTCCCACCTTAAATATGGGACCCCTTCTCAGAAAAAATCTTCAAAAGGCAGCAAAGTAATTTCAATAGATATTCGGTTAATCTTATGCCTTAGGAAGTTTACATTGCACTATAACTTTTATTTAAATGCTAAATGATGTGCATCTTCGTTAATATTACTTGTAAGGTACAATCATATTTCTAGATTTGCATAACACTTAATGTAGCTTATATTTGACATTAACATTTTTTAATATCTTTCAATACTAACACTAGTTTAAACTTGAATATATATTTTGCTAGGTCCCATACTAAGGTTAATGCAGATATTAATTTTATATTCTATAACATTCTATTTATCAAATGTTTGTTTCATGTCTGCATTAATCTATCCTTATTTTATTTAAATATTCTACTATAGTTAAAAGTAAAGAATTTATTTCACTTTAAACAGTCATCAGCTTTTAAGAAACCAAGGTCAAATTCTGCTCGAAGTAAAAGAAAAGGATGTAGATGTGGTAATGCTACAGCAATACCTGGGAAACTAACATGTTGTGGTCAACGTTGTCCCTGTTATGTTGAAAGTAAACCTTGTATCGAATGTAGATGCAGAGGTTGTAGAAATCCTCATACAGCAGATGGGTTGAAGGTAGAATTTATAGGATTTAGTATTAATAAAATTTATTAAATTGGATTTCCAAAAAATGTTTTGAACAATATAGTTGATTATATTGTATACTTTTTACATTTTAGATTCGACCACATATACCTGAGTTACATAATTTACAATTACAACTATCAACTTCTTTGGATTGTGATGCATTAAATTCAGATCCTTTAGGATCAGTATCACAATGTCTCTCAACTTCTCCAACGACAATTCAAGTATTAAATGTTTATTCAACTCCGAGATTAGATATTGATAATGTCCCACAAAATCTACCTGCAGCCTTGTTAGTAGGAGAAGATGCTATGATTAGTACTGAAAGTGAAGCTGAAGACAGTGATATACAAATTGATGTGTGACAATTCAAGTGACATCAATTGTCATGTACAATATAATAAGGTATGTAATATAAATGGCAGTTAAGATAAACATTTTTCAAATGTGATAGAATTCAAATTACAATCCATGACAAGTAGACATTACGCAATTAATATATGAACTCTTTTTATTTATACAACACTCAATACATATTTCTTTTTTTTCAATATATGTATACAATTTTCTAGTACTACTATTAATTTTCTATTATGTCAAAGTTATAATAGAATTCGTATAGCTATGGCATAGTTTTCTGTGGCAATAAAAGGAGTCAAAAATGTTAAAACTTGTGAAATTTGTATTTTTGGACACTTAAAATTTTAATGCAGCATTATTCTATAAGCTTTCATAAATGAACAATTATTTATGGTAAATGATGGGAAAATTAAAAAATGTAGCTGAAGTTCATTTAAAATTAGAAAATTTTAATTTGTTTTTCGAAATACCATTAACTTCATCTACATTTTTTTCCATCACATAAATAATAGTGTGTTTATGGAAGCTTAGATTTATAAAATGATACTGAATTAAAACTTTAGGTATCCGAAAAAATATAAATTTTGCATCTTTTTAATATTCTCCTTTACAAAAAGTGAAAAACGAATCATGTATATGTAATTGATAATTAGATAAATAAATTTATGTTACGTTATAATCAAGATAAGAAACTTGAAATTTTCATAAGAATATTTCTTTAACTTTTAAATTTCTGGACTATATTGTATTATGTTTAGATCTAATAAATTTTTATTAAATAATATCTTGCTTTATTTTGATTGATAAAATAGGCTTTGTCTGTAGCTTTGTCAAGCAACGACAAGTATTCATTCTTGTAAGACTATGAGAGTCTAAGACGAATCGAATACTATATACTTAAATGGTCAAACAAATATGTCTTTATTAATGAAATTATTTTAATGATATTATTTATCTATATATTTAAGGCATAATTTGTATAAATATATATACATCTTGTATTATTTTACAAATACTATTAGAAAGACTTATTTGTGACAAAATATTCTAAGAGAGTAAATGTAATTAAATTTCTATTATATTAAAGTTAATTTCTAATTAATAAGAGCAATCTAATTAAAATTCTTTTTATATTATTGTTGTTGTTATTATTATTATTCATATATTATAATCTGTAATTTTTAATTATAGATATAAATATGTATAAAAATTCAGTTATAGCATATATTCCTTAATGGCATATATTTTTTTTTTATAATTGCAAAAGACCTTATCAAAACATGAAATATAGAACCATATTAAAAACAATAATCATGGAATACAATATAAGAAACTTGTATATTCTGTAAAGTTTCGTTATATAGTCAATATAAATATTTTGAACATGTTTTATGTATTAGTTTTATGTTTTATGTTTATAAGTATTTTAAATATGTTTACTGAAACTTTAAATGAATATGATGAGAATATGTCTTACGCGGAAAAAGGGATAATTCAAAACATAAAAGAAACATAACTTCTCAGAATTACATATGCTAAAAAATTTAGATAATTCAACCAATTCAATAAAAAATATGCAGTATTCTTAAATATTGAAATAAACTGATCTTCGCTTAATGAACGCAATTTAATATAAAAAAAGTGATTGTTTTATTATCTGAAAATTTCGTTAACTGAATACTTTTGTGTTCTTATTAGTTCGGGTATTGAAGATTTTACTGTAGTACAAAATAAGCATAAGCAGATGAATAAAACTAGAAAGTAGAAAGGAATCACAGAAATAAGATATGAGTAATGGTCATATTATTTTGTGAAGTAGCGTTGTTTTGTATGTCTAATGTATACTAACGGAACATTGAATTTACATTATTTTTAATGTTAAATTACATTATTTTTTTTTTAATCTATAAAATCTGTTTTTATCCATTTTTTGTGATAAATACATAAATTGTATGTTATACAATTTAATACAATGTAATGAATAAATTTAAATTTTTTAAAATTATGACATGCGACGTTTTTTCCATGTAACAACAAAATTAGCAAAGAAAATGTTGAAAACAATGGATAACTGTTACATTCTCGAATGTTAATGATAAAGTGTCACGTTTATATCATGTCTGTTAATCTTAAATTCAATGAGCTTTTAAATTATTTTTTCTTTCCAGTGATTGAAATATTGTTGTTCAACGTATGACGGACTCAATTCAAGTTTTATGAAGCTGTCCATAATTGATCGATTAATATTACAGTAACTTCATCCCATTCGTCAAGGAAAATGTTGGTTCATACGCAATTGTATAATTTTAATAAATAATTTAAATCGCTGTTTAATAGTCTTGATCTTGAATTGTTACAAAGGGCTGAAAATAATCCGTGCAATTGAATATAAATATTTAATTCACACATGTTACTTGTGACTTTAATATTTTTAATACATTTAATTTTATATATTTATTTTTCTAATAAGATAAAAATTATTTAATTTTGAGAAAATTGACCTATGATTCTCCTTTGTTTCATTTAATTGTTCTTTAACGTTATAATCGAATTTGAGTTGTAAATATATTTTATATTTTATACGTGAATATGTGAGTTAGCAGCGATGTAGTTTCAGAATACTCTGAGCCTAAATAATCTGCTGTTATTTAATCTTTCTATAATTTATGATGGGGATTAATTCTGAACCTATGTCTCAGGGCACTCTCATTTAATGGAAGGAAAGCTAATAATTCGAAATCGCGTGACTATCGAATAACGCGACGTGTGAATTTTTTAGAATTTAAAGTTTAAAATGAATAGTGTCACGAGTGGCATGCGACTCGGTGCCAACGTCACGCTGCTTCACATTCTTCATTCCGGCACAGCATAGATCTTTCTTTTGTATAGGATAAAGAAATGTTTAATCTTGGCTAAATGAAACCAGCTGGAACAATAGAGCGATAGCTGCGCGAACTACAAAGAAGTGGAGAGACATTCAACAATCTCCCGCTAGTCCCTATTATATTCGTTAGCGAGTCAACCGTTGATTTCAAACTTTTTTACCATTTTTCAAGAGAACGATTGCGAACCTACGGCTCCACCAAACAAGTTTGATTTTCGTGAAAGTAGAATACAAATGTAGTAGGATACAAAGTAGTAGGATACATGAAAGTAGAATACAAATGTAAACAAAAAAAAAAATTTTACTTAGAAATTCAAGATCAAGGTTATTTTTGTGGTAAATTCTTTATATGTTTTTCAATTAAATAGACGGTAGAATTCACCGATAGTCAAGACAAACATATCTTCCCATTCTGTACTTTATTCTATTGTTTTAGAAATAGCTGAGTTTGTTGTTTCTTAATGACTTCTTCAAAATTGATATAATTTCTTATATCTAATGACTTTTTAATATTCTAATTTGCTCTCTTAAATTTGCTTTCTTAAATTTAGCTTTTTCATTTCAATGTGAATAATGGAAATTTCATTTGCATTTCAGAGCAATTTGATTAAGTTTGCTACATTAGCATCACGTAACGATAAATTTATGTAAAATGATTATTGTTGAATTAAAATTTGTAAATTCTAATATGTTAAGTATGATTATTTTAGTTCAATTAATGATTGAACTAAATAATAAATAATTAATAATGTTCAATTTTTTTGCCTCTTAAGTCGGTTTTATTGGATTCCCAAAGAAAACTATGACTGTTAAAATATCCAACAATTAAGAATAATTATTTTGGATAGTTATATATATTGTTTATTTCTGAAATGCTAAAACATCATATTATAAGTCCCTGTAGAGATATAAGGAAGTTAGGATTTATGAAATAAATAGTAGTAAATATAGGACATTTTTGCTAAATGCAATTTACTTACTGTTAGTCCAGATGGTATTTCGTATATTTTTATTAGAAATAAGGTTACGTAACATAAATTAATTGAAATCAAATTAAAACTTATTTATTGCTAATTAACTAATTAACTAGATTAGTCTATTGGGTTAGCTTTCTTAATCTAGCCACCGGGATAATTGCTTATCTGCAACAATATACCTAACTATAAATCTTCTCTTGCCTTTCTACAAAACTAATGGAACAGAATAAGAGTGATTAATAAACGTCTTCTATAAAATCTTTATTAATCATATGTAAACCTAGATAAAATAATATAATAAGAAAAATTTGTTTTTTTCAAAACTACTTGTGCTTTCTATTGATGCTCTAACAAATGACATTTTGCTCATAGGGATTAATCATCTTACATATAATGAAATCTAGCCCATTTTTTTATCAGATTATCAGAAATGCCTAAATGATTATGATATACATTCGTATACATTGTACAACATTTACACATACACACATTAGAATGATAAAATTACATAATAGTAATGTTAATCTATCTTCAAGATCTTGATTTTTTCTTTATCTTAGTATTCTGTATAGAATTTATATCGCCTTCTGGGAGTGGATTTTCATTTGAGGATTCCTCATAGAATTTGAGTTGTTTAAGTAAAATTTTTATTTCTTGGATTAACCTTTAAGATTATTTGTTTTAAATTATTATAACTATTATTATTATAACGTGTAATCGTTTCTTATTTGAAATATAGTATTTTATTAATTTTCGTTTATTTCTGCATATAGTATTTTATTAGCTTTCCTTTCTATTGAAATATTATTTTACGATATAACTTACGATATGAATTATCAGTTTTAATATAGTGATATGAATATTAATATTATAAGGTTATTAATATTAATCTTTATAACTTCTTTTAATAATTTTAACAAAAATAATTTTTTTTAATTTCAGAATGAAGTGAAAAATGATGATTTATAATCTACAATTATACTGATAAATAGCAAATATATTTTTATTGTTCATAAATAATCTATATCCTGAAATTTTAGACAATTTAGAATATTAAATCTTTTGTAAGTATAAATAAATTTATTTCTAATGTAAAATGAAAATTTTCAATGCTGATATATGTGTTTGTCATTTCTTATCTGTTATGTTGTTGTCTTCATTTTTGTATACACTTTGTAAATATAGATATAATGTGTATAATATGTTGTTACTATACAATTATATATATACAAACTGTTTTTAAGATGCACATAAGGCTGATGGTTTTAAAGCAGTATTTAAAAAATATGTAAATTGTTGAGTAAAGATTGTAATACGTCAGATATTTAATCTAAGATATGGATTAAATTCGAGTAAAATCTCAAAAGTATTTTTTACATTTTATAGATTATAAAATTTTTTGGATACTTATGAATGAATTAATTTATAATAAAATTTATAATAAATATAAATATAAATTTGAATTTATAATAATATTAATTAATAAAAATTAATATGTCTTATGAAAAAAGTAGAGTGTAGTTAAGTAGTAAATACAAATTTAAATATGTTCAAACGTTTCTATACAGAATTTATAGACCAGTGGAATGTTGGAAGGTAAGTATTAAAAGAAACTTTTTGAAGAAGGTTAAAAAAAACATAATTAGCGACAAAAAATGCTAGAGACATAAACTATATTTATGTCTATCTAAAATTACAGATGCAATATACCGCTTCTGTTCAATTACGCCATTAAAATTGTATAATGCATTAAAAATAAAATAAATTGATAGTCTATATTGAATGGAGAATGATGTCAATTATTTTTCATATAAAACAGATATAGACAGTTGTAATGTAAAAGTTGTATACAGTAAAGCATTTTTTTTTATATCCAAACTACATAATAAGCAGACAAAAATATTTAAATAATGGAATTTTTAGATATATAATAGAATAATTATTGTTGAAATCCATAAATTTCTTAATATAAATTAATTAATATAACTTAATTCTCAGAAATTATATTCTTTTCGTTTAATTCTTTAAATTGATAAAGAATTTCTCCAATCGTTTCAAATTTCAATATAAAAAGCATTTTAGCACAAAAAGATTCGTTCTGATCATTTTTATTTATTGTTTCATTTTGTACATTTACAATATTTTTATCACTCATAAATGAAATATTAATTTATTACAGAATTAAATTTATTTTGCATTTTACTAGTAGTAGCAATTTTATTTAGTAAGATTTTTTTACAAATATGAAAATTTATAAAACACATTATACGCACAATGTATCATTTGAAAATTTCCAGTCCAAATCTTGAAAACATTTTTTCGACAAAAATGTTTAATACAAAAGTTTCACAGTTTCGAAGAAAACTATTTATTTTTTATTTGTTAGGTATTTTCAAGGTTGTTTCAAAATCATCTTCTTCTTTTGAATTAAAAAATATATATTTCTTTACGGATTCTTATTCTAAAAAAAGAAGAAACTTTTGTATGAAACTTTTTTTTTTATAAAATTTTCCTTTAAGAAGACATTTGGTAAAATAGGAACTTATATCAATTTTCAAAGCTAAAATAAACGATAGAAAGTTAAATAGTACGAACGAAATTTCTTTAATTCTTCTAATTATTTTCCAGATGAGATGAAATCAATAATAAATACACTTTTTTATGTTATTTTTTTATTACATGATAAATTACAGTAGCATTGTACAGCAATCGTTAAAAAAAGTTTCAAAAATGTTCATCTTGTGCTAGATAATACATATCTGTTTCCTTAGGAAAATGAGAGTAGAATTTAAATTGTTTTATTGTCTAGTCTACAACATAAAGAACATTTTTAAAACTTCTTCTGACGATTGTAATTCATTATGTAATAAAAAAATACAAATGTTATTAAGTAAATGGCATACTTCTAACACAAAAGGAAACATCTGGGCTTCATGCCTGACTATTGTTTTTTGCGTCATGTTGTACACGTACATTCTCACTTTTGGCTTATCTTTACCTAACAAATTTATTATTACAGATTAATTTATAATTACAGAAAAATCTCCAAAATTGTTATTTGTATTAAATGTGCGTGTGTGTGTGTGTGTGTATGTGCAAATTATTAATTTTTGAAATTATAAGCAGAAATAAAGTTAATACATGAATAGATTGTATATGTTTTTGTACTATTCGTGGATTTTTTTTCCAACAAATTGAGTGTTTTTTTTCTAGTAGAATTTATTCTTCATTGTGAATTAAAACTTAAGTGCTTACGAAGCATTTTTGAATATACTCTTGCTGATTATATGTGTTTCGACAATTTTTATACAAGGAAATTCCTTGAAATTCTGTTTTTAAGGACAGATAAAAAGAAATAATATTTTTTTTTTATTTAAAAAAAACACGTAAAAGGAAATAATGTTCCATTAAAAAAATTGAAAATTATAATCGATAGAGCTATGGCAATGAAAAGACACAAAACACGGATTTATTGCAAGATCGTTGTATTAGTGTATTATTCACCAAAAAATGTGCAAATATAATATTTTTTCAATGTATAATACAAACAATAACAGTATCTATGAAATACGTAGTCATGGTATGTCATAAATCATCTATCATGTATATAAATCTAACATCGTGATAACAAGATGTAGCACAGATGTATAAGAAGAAAAAAGTAATGTAAGCGAAAACAAAGAAACATGTGCAAAAAAAAAAAAAGAAATTTTGATTATATAACTTATTGTAATAGACTACTGCGTGTAATATCAAATATTATCACATAAGTATTGTTAATGCAACAGTGATTATTTAAATTACTTTTACAAGAAAATTTAACGATGTTCTGTAAAAGGACTCATTCTGTAAATAAAATGAATTTAAATAATTATAAGACTTGTATATCATTTTTCAAGAAAATAGTTCATTTGTAATCAATGATTGTACTTTGCTTCTTGCATTTGGTACGATTAAAATAATTTAATCTTAAAATTCAGAATCAAGACTAAAATCATGATATATAATTTTTGAATATGTAAAATTTTGACAGAGAGTACTTTTCTTTCTTTAATGTTGAACTTTCTTTAATGTTTACTGACATTTTCCATATAATAATACAACAAATATATAAAATGATAAATAAACAACATTAGAATATTCGATTTCAATAATGACTTAGATCAGAATCACACATATACATATACATATATTATATATTAATCACACACTAGGAACATGCGTTTAATTTTTTTTTTTTTAATCTACAGGGTAGTGCAAAATTCATGATAAGATTAGAAATATTCGTATTTCTTTTAAATTTTATTTTTTCTTCTTTTTTTGTTTGTAGAGTTTTTAAAATACAGTGAGAAATTTATTACATTGGCTAAAACTGGCTAAGCTTTATTTTAGGAAATTAAAATCAGTAACTTCTGTTTTATCTTTTATCAATGAAGGATTATAATTGTTTTGATTTTTTGACTTCAAGAAATTTTAAGTTTAGAAATTAGAAATTCACTTGTTTAAAAGTTATGCCTATATAAAACATTTCT